TTCAATGCAGAAACTTGCGCAAAAACACTAAATTTTAATTCCTGCAATATTTAGTTCATTCTTGTGTTAACGAGTTTTTCTGAGATTTGGACCAAATGACATTTTTTAAATTATGAAAAGGAATTGCAATTCAGTGCACAAAGTACAGATAAGAAATTTGAGACAAATTTATCAATATTCTGTATTTTAATTGCAAACTGGAACGGATCTATTCAAAGCAATTTTAATGAAGTTGCTGCAAGATAGACATGAATAATATGAAAAAAGGTTACCAGTACACAAATTGATTTTGATAGTCAAATGGATGAAGACAACATTCAAGTTTTAAGTATACCAACAATATATTTCCACAGGACAACCCTGAATATAAGCAAGTCAACTTGACCTCCAAGTAAATACCATGAAAATTGGAAATCTGGAACAAAAATAAAATAAATGTACTATCGGTATTGAATTCTTGCAGGTTGAGACTGTTGTCATTTTTCTAGCACACGACAGTGTCCGAGTAAATGTAGTTTGTTCCTCGTATTACGCCAAATTGTGCCCTTGTTTCACACAATGATCTTGAGGGCGCTGTTGGGGGGAAGGGGCGTTCAAGTAACTGTTCGTCCTCAGCTCTACATTTGCACTTTTACTCAAATATTGCTTGCTCTACAAAATTCTTTAAATTTCTGCAGTAGTACTGCTGTTTAAGCCATATTAGAAATTTGCTAGTTTGGAAGATAATAAAGTTGTTTTACTGAACATTTTCTAGAATAACCCGCTTCCTTGGGTGATTCACTTCGTTCCACAAACTCCAAAGCTGTTGTTGAAAAAGCCGTACAAGTGCAATAATAAACAAGGCTAATTACAAGTATTAAAAATATTTGTCCTTGTTCAGTCGTATCAAATACAAGAAAGTAGCCAGAAATTCCTACAGCTCAACTCATGCCATTATTTATTGACCCAGAGAATACAATTCTGAAACTAGCCTCTCAAATGACTGGAAGATGTAGCAACCACATGCTTACTGTGGTACTATATTTTCTCTATTAGTTGTACATACACTTACGGAAATGACAGGTGTGCCCAAGGTCAAAGCAGCTAGTATTAATAACCCATAATACTATTTGTTTTAAGTTTGCCTTGAATTTTTTTTTTGCCAATGGAGAAATAAGGTATAGAAACTCCTCTCCTCAACATGCAGACTCCCATAATGTAAATATTTCCAGATAATTTTACCTTGATTTTGTTTTGTAAAGTGCATATCTATGTTAATTCAGGCATTACCTGCATGTCTCGTACATACTAGTCTTGGCCAGTGGCAAGTGCATTTTTTAAGCATTTTACTTATGTATTGACAAACTAATAGTCACGATGCAAAGGGAGAATGCATTTCAACATATGGACGCAGTATACTCTAATTTTTTAGGTATGAGGATCACGACTGTAGCCCATGGCTATTGCATACACAAGCCAATTGAAGAGTTAATTAGCTGTGTGGCAATTCAGACTAGCTTTGCTACAGAATATGCCTAAATACACAAGCCTGAATAAAACCAATTGTTTTGGACATGTTATTACAAGGTTTCATTTATATTATTTTATATTAATGAAGTCGATAATGTTTAATTCATTTATAAAACAGTGATAAAGATTATTCAAGGTATATGTAAATCTTAGATTACAAAATGCAAGACTACATATAGTTTTAGGCCATGGACTCTCCAATGTTACATATGGTGAATTTGAGGCAATGAAGAATACAGTTGTTTTGAATGTGCATATCCAAATGTACGCTGTGATTTAGTATTTTTGTTGTTGGAAATTGATGCACTTCTCGAAGCAAATGCATGTCCCAGGGAATGAAAATATGTTGTTTAACTTAAAGACTCCCATCACAGTTGAATTGGCAATGGTGATTATGGTTGCTCGGGATACTGCAAGTGTATCTTATAAATGCATGAAGACTCAGTTTGAGAAAGAACTTTAATCCTTGGGTGGGGATAGTAAACATTGTGAGTAGTTTACCAACAATGATTTTCATCACGTTTTTATACGCTATTACCAACTACATCACTTGAACATTACCCACCCAACCTTCTCAATGGGATGTTGAACACTACATTATTGAAATACAAACAAATAGCTACATAAAGTAAACTGACAGGTACTTCACTCAAGATAAACTGTGCCAATAATGTCAAGATTAGCCACCTGTGCCTCACATTTTGGAATTTGTTTTCCAATAAACTACACCATATACGCAAGTATAGGGAAACCTTTTTTGGTTGCAGGAGTTTTGATTTAAATAAACTTTTTTTGCACGTTTTCAAAAGCATTAATGAATGTTTAACATAGAACATGTACCTCATATTAAGCAATACCAGTCCAAATAAATTTTCTTTTAGATTAATAGCAAAACTTTGGGTCCTGCATGTATTTTTTATTATTACAAACTATATAGCTTCAGTACAAATACTTTAGTCTAGACAGATGACAATCTCATAAAAGGACTGTTCCATGCTACTGGCTGTGACATATCAAGTAATTGTTACTACTAGAAATTTTTTAATTTTAGAAATACGACATTCATGCACTAAAGTCACTGAAATTGTTGTACGACACCCGAAAAATTGTATGGCGTGTGGCCGATTAGCTTGCTGATATGACTCGTTTAGTTTTTCCTATACCAAGAAAGTAATATAATGTGGAGTCTGTTCTTATACAGAAGTGAAAATAAAGCAAGCAACAGGTTAAAAGTTCAGACTGGTACAATCAGCACATTGTTGAGGAACACCTGAAATCATTCAGGTCAATAAATCACTGAAGCATATGTAGTTCATCAACCGTAACCATTAAATCACAACTATTATTACACAATGTTCTATAGGGGATTAAATATATCACATTTGTTCCATTTATATCTGGAATCATAAGCACTCTAGCTTAATGCAACTTTTGGATTCTGCATACGAAAGATTCAGCCTATCACAACGTATATATTTTAGCCAATCAGATCCCTTCCTTATTGATCTATTACAAACGTGTAATATATCCTCTTCCCGCCTAAATTCAAGAATGTACCATTCCCCTATAAATTGAGAAATTGTCCTTGTACTTGTCAGATGCAATAAACCTAGTT